GTGTTTTCATTGGAAAATTTTATAATCGTTTTGAGCTTAGTTTTACATTTGGTCTACGAAACCCTAATTATTTTGTCTACGGGTCTAAATGTCCTCGTTTCACTTTAAATACCTAATTGTTTATGTTAGATGAGCTGTAATATTCTGTCTCGTTAACTTTAGGTTTTCTCGGTGACTAAGGATAATACCCGGAAGGATATTTTGCAAGTTGTTTTGCGTACATAGGTGAGTGTTCCTTGTTTGCTATATTATTCTTGACTCCATGACTTGTGTTATTGTTTGATAACGTGTTAAGTACTTTCCATGATTTTCAAAACAAGTTTTCTGGGCGAGTGTGTACTTCATCGCACTCGACCTAAATATGTATGAACTTTTCCATGATTTAATGATTGAACAAACGATTAGTTGTGCATGAATGTAAGCCTTCTGGCTGAACTGGGCCCTGCCCTTCGTTACCGATCGACTCGAGCCAGAAGCGGACTTGGTCGGGCGATATGGTGACCCTGGGTGAACGTTTGGTATACTCGAGTATTACCTTATAGTCCGGACAACGTCCGGATGGGTGGAGCCTGGCCAACGGCTAGGAAGGGGGTGAATGAACGAACGAAAGAACAAACGAGGGATTTTACTTACAAAAATGCATTTTTAAACGATTGGAGGAATAAGGGGAAATGTCAGGAGAACGAACGAACAAACAAATTGCTCCTTGTGAGCCGTATCCTTTTAATGAATGTGTTACTATCGCTTTCCATTGTAAATGTTTCTTAAATTATTGATACTCCATGTTTCATGTATTGAAATGATTATTTGATTATGTGTTCGGAACCTCACTGAGCTTTTAGCTCACCCCTTTAGTTTTGTTTTCCTTAACAGGGGACGGCGAACAGGATGAGAGTATAGACTAGCCTAGTCTAGTTCTTTTGTTTTTTTTTTTGTAATGGTTCTCGCCCCAGTGCTTGGCACGGGCTGGACGTATGAAGGATTGAGAACCTTTGTATATTCGATGTTTATACTCTCTTTTGGGTTGGCAATGTATATAAATTCCGCTTTAAGTTTTGGATCGTTGCCCTATTTATTCTTGTGATTTCATTCCAATTTCATTTAAGAGCTGTAGTAAGTGAGTGAGTCCCGGCGAGAGTTGGGCAGGCGACCCGCCAAACCCTTTGGTTTGCCTTAGGGGGAGGTGGGGCCGTCACAAGATTCAGTCTTAAAATAGCCTTTACACTACCTCTCAAATGGGAACATCCACCGGTATTGTGCTGGGCCAACAAGTTTTGCTTCAGCACGTAAATGGACCATTACATCAAAGAAATTTGGAGGGAAAATTTTTTCAAATTTGCAGAGTATTACAACAATGTTTTTCTCCTGTGCATCTAACTCATCCACATAAAAAGTCCTGGAACAAATATTCCTAAAAAAATTACTTAGTTCTACCAAAGTTTGGGAAACATCCTTTGGCAACATGCCTCCAATTGCTAATGGAAGTAGACGTTGCAAGAATACATGATAATCATGACTCTTCATCCCTGAAATTTGGCACTCTTTTGGCTTAACACAACGAGATATGTTTGAGGCAAATCCATCGGGGAACTTGAGTGAGCTCAAAAACTGGAATAGTTTTTGTTTTCGCTGCGTGAAAGAGTGTAGCATGCAGCGGGCATCACCTTTGAATCCCCTTGAGTTTGAAGATGCAATTCTTCCCTCAATCTCATTTCCTTCAAATTCTCTCTAGCTTGCCAAGTGTCCCTATTTTTCTGACCCGTACCCATCACTGTACCCAACAAAATTTCACACACATTCTTCACGATATGCATAATGTTCAAGTTGTGTCTAATTTTGTTAGTACTCCAATATGGCAGCTCAAAAAAAAAATGCTTTTCTTGAACCAATTTGACTGATTTTGCATGCGTTTTCTTTTCTTCTCTTTAAGCAATTCAGGTGCCTTGCCAAACTCCATTTGATCAAACTCTTGAAGTTGTTGCAAGATTTCTTCACCGGATAAAGTTCTAACAGGCTGTCTAAGATCTCTCTTGCCATCAAATGACTTTCTTTCTCGATGCCATTTATGGTCCGCTGGCAAAAATCGCCGGTGCCCCATATAGCAACATTTTAATCCATTTATCAAATATACACTAGTTGTCTCATCTAAACAAACAGGATAGGCCTTATAACCTTTCGTACTCCACCCTGACAAATAGGCACATGCTGAAAAATCACTGGTAGTCCACAATAGAGCAGCTCGTAACATAAAATGTTCTCCCATGGTTGCATCATAAATCTCAAAGCTAATGTCAAAAAACTCTTTCAACTCATCAATTAGAGGCCTAAAAAATATATCCATATCATTTCCTATGCACTTAGGACATGGAATAATCATTGATAACAGGAAAAAAGGGTCCTTTAAGCATTTCCAAGGTGGTAGATTGTAAGGAACAAGGATTACAGGCCATATACTATATGCATTATTCATGTTTCCATAGGGAATAAAACCATCAGTTGAAAACCCCAACCTAACACTATGAGGATCTTTGGCAAAAGATGGGTGAGTGTTATCAAACTCTTTCCAAGCTATTGAGTCAGCAGGGTGTGTCATTGTGTTTTCCTTGGGAACGCGTCTCTCTTTATGCCACCTCATATCTTGAGATATCTCCTTGTTTATGAATAGTCTTTGCAACCTTGATTTTAAGGGGAAATAGCAAAGCACTCTTCTAGGAATTTTAGAACTCGGGGATTTATAACGAGGCGCTTTACATTTTTCATTTGGGCAGTGATCGAGGCTTTCATTTTCTTTCCAATAAAGTGCACAGTCATTTTCACATGCATGTATTTTTTCACACTTGAGTCCTAGCTCACGAATTAAATTTTTTGCATCATAGTATGAGCTAGGAATTGATGCCATGGGAAAGACTTGAATGAGGAATTTTAGCAGCATATTGATGGATCTGCAAGTTCACTGATTCATAGTTTTCAAATGAAGGATATGGACAACAAAGGAAAGTTTTGAGTACTTATCACAGCCAAGGTAAAGACTTTTTTCAGCTTCGGATAATAATCTAAGAAACTTACTTGCTTCCCCCTCTTGCTTATTTGGAATATCCCTATTATGTTCCCCCAAATTTCTCCATTTCTCACCAAAGTTTGCAGTACCAACGTTGTGACGACCCCACCTTACCCTAAGGCGTACCAAAGGGTTCGGCGGACCGCCTGCCCAGCTCTCGCCAGGACTCACTCACTCGTATCACGTGCATACATCCGTGGACCATAAATAACATCGCAATTCAAACTTATAATTTACATTGATGAACAACCAATATACAAAGCCTCAATATACCCAAACTGTTTAAAGTGTGTACAATCCAAGTACAAATCATTCTACTCGAGTGATAGCGCGACTACAAGTCAAAAGTCAAAAACACTAGGCTACGCTAGTCTTTACACATCTCACGCCTCGGTCGTACCCCCTGTAAGGAAAACAAATAGCGTGGAATGAGCTAAAAGCCCAGTGAGGTTCCAAATAACAAATTGACCAGTTTAAAAGTACAAGTTTTCGATATAGCAAAGTAACGAGCATGAAGAGTTCATAAAAGTGAGCCATAACACGTCAAGTAGTAATCTCATTTTATGAGCAATAACACTTCAAGTAGAAATCTCAAAATGAGCGAGTATAAAAGTTTTCAGAAGAAACAATAATCCACTAAACAATAATCATTCCAAAACATAAGGATACGGATGGCTCTCAGGAGCCAACTTCCCATTTCATCATCAGGAGCATGATCATGTAATAGTTGACACTCCGTCAACTTTCAACTAAAGGAACCAATCCAGTAGAGCACCACTTACACTACTCTCCGTCCACCATTCAAACCCCCTACTGGGCCCAAAATCCTTAATAAACACGGGTGGTAATACTCGAGTATACCGATCAGTCGAGGAGATATCACTCCACTCGACAAAACAAGAGACCCAGGGTTCGTTACCCAATCGACCAAGCCCTTGCCGGCTCGACTCGAGTAACTTGCCGCAGGGTTTCTGGAATTCCAGGAAGTGCGCACATCATAAACAAGTTTATCAAATCAAGTGCAATAATAGACAAGTATATCTCACGTGAGGGCAAGTGCGATAAAGTACACTCTCGCCCTAACAATTCACGTATATAACATGTAATCACGTTGGTCACGTATCAAATACAAGTATCAAGTTCAATTCGGTATTTGAAAGCACTCACCAAAAGTAGTGCCTCTAGTGATCGTGTTTGGGTTGTACTCCGGGTTCGGAGTCCAAACCTGCGATAAAACTTTGTTTAAGAACTTTAAAAATCGACGAAGGTTCAAAACTTAGACGTTTTGTTCAATAAGAAGCAAGAATTGGAAATTCACTTGGAGAATATTCGTGAAACACTCGCTCGCTTTTCAAACTATATAACTTTGTAACATTATACTTGGAAATATCATTTGAGTCAAAAGTACAAGGAAAACATACTCCGAGCAGTCATTATTTTATTTCTCAAGGGTACAAGTCCGGCTAGGTTGTAACGTATAACCCTCGATAACAAAGTAGCCAATATCCCAGATGGTTCAAGTGATATTCATTTCCCAACTTTACTCAAGTCGCAAGTATATTTCTCTAGTCCTCGAGCGTAAATTTGGGCAGCATGCCCTTTGTGTTTACCTAATTTTCCAGCCATTTTGGCTTCATTATTTTTCTCATTCAAACCCAAAGGCACACACACAAAAATCTAACTTCAATAGCTGTCCAATAGGCTCAAGACAGTACAAGGACAAAAATTCAAGTTAGTAACAAGTGCGGAAATAAGCTTTAGTAAAAGACAGATTTGATGGGTTTTTGCGAAAATGACACAACCGATACTACGCTTATCGGATCGAAGTGAAACTTATACCGTTTCGAAGCTAAGACAAAGGCCTACAATGTTCATGAAGATCGCTTAGTCCAATTTCCAGTGTAACCTAGGCAAATTCCCACTTTACAGAACCAAAATCCAAAAAGGGAGAACTTCGGGGAGTTTCTGAGAGGAAGACAAGAGCAGGAACCAGAACAAGAGGAAGAAAGAAGCTTCGGGCTAGGGAAAAATCAAAACGGAGGCAGAGGAGAGTAAGAACCAGAATCACCACTGCCGTCGACCACCGCCAGCGCCGCCACTTCACCGAATCCACCATCATCACCGGCCAATTTTCATCAAGCAAGAGCACGGTAAGCTGTCTTTTCTTCTTTAAAACTTCAGTTTTGTTCAAGCCTTTGAAACAGGCTGCCGTGACTGTGTTTGGTTGCAATTTTCGGTTGTTTGTTCATGATTTTTGAATACGCATGCTGTATGTGTTAATTGGACTGTTTGCTGTGTTTCTGGCAAACTTTTGGGGCTGAAAATGACCTTAATTGAGCAAAAAAAGTCGGTGAAATTTTAGTGCCTATTTGCTGTTCGACGAAATGCCTAACCGAAAGTCCTGCTTTGAAGATGATTTTTGCTTGCGTTTTGCGTTGTTCTTATCCCAGAAATTTTGTTTACCAGAGTTGGGTAGTTGAAGTTTTTGGTAATTATGCTAGAGGTTGGGTTTTGTTTTTGCTAAGATGGCATGCTGTAGCTCCCTGCTTTTCCCTTGTGGTTGTGCAATCAGCCACGGATTTAAGGGGGGCTGGTGGGGGCTTAAGCCCCCCCCAAGCCGCCGGAAAACCCCCTATAATCAAACGCTAAGGCTTACTCTGCCTATCTCAGTCGATCTCAAGGACACCGCCATCCCCGACTGCCTCCAGTCCTGCTGCCAGAAGAGCACCGCCGCTAGCAGTCCACCGTAAGTTATCCCTTTCATTTGTATTTCATTTTTTTTCCTTGATCACAAGTTTTGGAAAGTTTTTCAAATGGGTCTGCCATGACTTGGTTGTTGCGTTTCCCCTGTTGATGGCCCATAATTTTATGATTATACGTGTTTTATGTGTTGATTTGGTTGGATTTTCTTGGGATTTCTGATAATTTTGGGTGCTGCTTTACATCAATTGAGCGAGAGATTAGCTAAAATTTCTTATGCTCATGTGGTGTTTGACGAAATACCTAACCGACAGTCTTGCTTGAAGACGATTTTGCGCTTGCATTTTGCGTGTTCTTATCCCAGAAATTTTGTTTACTAGAGTTGGGTAGTTGACGTTTTTGGCAATTATGCAAGAGGTTGGGTTTTGATGGTATGCTGTAGCTCCCTGCTTTTCCCTTGTGGTTGTGCAATAGATTTGAAATGATGAATTAGAAGAAAGCCACGGTTGGGAATAAAATTATTGCAGAGAATATTTGTTGCTCAAAAGAAAAGTTTCTCATGGCTTTGTATGTTCTTTTCAAAGGATTCTACACTTAGCATGTGAATAAGTTGACCCGTATCAATTTCCTTTAGTAGAATATGTTTTTCAGTTTGGCTATTGTTGTTTCATTTCTGCCATTTTTGAATGAAAGCTGTTAGTTTCCTTCATCCGATGATCTGCGAGGCTGTTTTGCTGTGAATACTGAGTTTTTATTGCAAGATTATGGTTGTGCCTAAGATTTTTATCTTGTGAGTTTGTTTGAAGTTATGGCAGAGCTCTAAGCCATTTTGGTTGCATTTTGATGAGCATCAAATCTGCAGCAGAATAAAATTTTTGCAGTCCTCTTTGCTGTTTTTTTTTCTGCAATTGCTCACCAAGTTTCAGCCATCCAACCTGCTGATTGGTCTTATATTGAAAAGGTGGATTAGATAAGTGGTGTTGGATTAGCATGTTTAGTATTTTGTTCAAATTCAAGATCTGATCTTTAGCATGTTTTCTTGAATGTTTTGGTTCGGCACTTCAAACAAGAGTTAAACATTTTCGCTGCATTTTTGTTTTGTTATTTTGAAAACCACTGCTACCCCTTTGTTTTTGCTAGCTGTCACCAAACCAGATTTTCTGATTTGATCTTGCAACAAAAGGGTAATATTTGGCTTGGGTGGTGATTAGGAGTGTGTCTTGCGATTGTTTGATTCAAAAAGCTGATGTTTGTGAGTGACATATTCGAATTGATAGTGAACTAGAGAAGGTAGCAGGTTGATGTTGCATAAATTCTCACCGTAGCCTTGCATGAACAGATTGTAGAAATGTGCTTTGCAAAAATAACTTTCTAAAATTGCACTCTGGCCCCCCAAGTCTCCCTTTGTTCACCGTGGCCCAAAATCTGGAAAAATCAAACTAATTTCACTCTTTTAAGCTTAGTCCTCTGTTTGCATATTTTATGTGGTTTTTTGGACAGATTAATTCTGGAATTTAGACCATAATTGTAGCGTTTTCAAATATTGAGCAAATATTGCAGCGTTTTCAACGGATGAAAACTCGCAGAATGCAATTGCCTCCTCTTCGTTATTCGAGTGCAACAACTACCAATACTTCAAGTGTTAATCAATAACAAATTTTTGGGTATGTATAATTATATGTTTTTATTATTTTTATAATTATCGATTCTAAATTTTACTTATTAAATATATTTATTTCGTCACAAAAATTTTTTTAATACACTTCAGCCCCCCCCAAAAATAAATTTCTGGCTCCGTCCCTGTGTGCAATAGATTTGAAATGATGAATTAAAAGAAGGCCACGGTTGGGAATAAAATTATTGCAGAGAATATTTGTTGTCCAAAAGAAAAGTTCCTCATGGCTTTGTATGTTCTTTTCAAAGGATTCTACACTTGGCATGTGAATAATTTGACCCATATCAGTTCTCCTGTAGTAGAATATGTTTTCAGCTTTGCCATTGTCGTTTCATTTATGCCATTTTGAATGAAAGCTGTTAGTTTCCTCCATCCGATGACCTGGAGGGCTGTTTTGCTGTGAATGCTGAAGTTTTTATTTGCAAGATTATGGTTGGACCTTAGATTTTATCTTGTGAATTTGTTTGAAGTTCCGGCAGAGAGCTCTTTAGTTGAGCTTATGCAGTGTTGTATTTGTATAGATTGGACTGTGATTTCTAACTTCTTGCTGGTGCTGTAATATGTGGGCCCAAATTATATGAGATTCTTAATGAATTGTAATTTTTGTCTTAATAATCTAAGTCTCATTACTTGTTCTTTATTATTATACTCCTCCTCTTACCTACTTCTTTTACTCTTTTATGACAGATAAATGCTATTCATACTAGCTTTTGGAAGATATCTATGGTTATGGTTGAAGAATGTTGAAGACAAAATTGCCTTTTGCTCATGGAGTGGTTCATTTAGATGTTCTTCAATTTCTTAAACTGTGATTGCTTTTGTAAATGTACCTTATGTACAAGTGATATTTTGGACAAATGTTATTTTTGTAGGCATTAGTTGGGTAATGTACACTTGAATTTGGCATTTGAGAATGCTATATTATTACCATATAATCTAATGCAAATACTTTTGGTTATCAATCGTTCATGTTTATTTGTATGGTTTGTTTAAAATCAATGATTTAGCAATGATTACAGGTCAAATTATGACTATTAAGCTATTGAGAAATTATCTAATGACAAAAAAAAGTTGTCACAAAATAGAAAATAAAAACTCCTTGTCACAACAGAGACTGTCACTAAATCTAAGCTAAATTTGTGACGACAATTGTTGTCAGTAAAATAGTTATATACAATGGCTTTCGGTGCTTTTTAGTGACGACCTTAAGTAGAGCATTTTTGACAAAAGGTCAATTCGTCAATAAAACACTTCCGGATTGTTGTCACTAATGACAACTATTTAGTGACGACATTTCAGGTCGTCACTAAATAGTTGTCATTAGTGACGACAATCTGGAAGTGTTTTATTGACGACTTGATCTTTTGTCAAAAATGCTCTCCTTAAAGTCGTCACTAATGAGAACTATTTAGTGATGACCTAAACACTGTTTACTTTTACCGACGGGGATTTAGTGACGACTTTGTGACGATCAAAAAGTCGTCAATAAAAGGTATTTGTGACGATATTTGTATGTTTTGTGATGACTTTGTGTTGTCACTAATGAACAATTTTCTTGTAGTGATTTGGAATGAACAATTGCAGCTCTTGTAGACAAAGTTGTAAGTTCACTAAGTGACGACTATTCTTGTCACAGAATACTAGGAGTGAGAGTGACAAGTTCAAGTCGTCACTGTGTACGTTCAAATTTGTGATGACTTTTGCTATCTTATGATAGCAAAAATTTTGAAACAGTGACAAGAAACTTTGTCACAGAATACTAATCCTTAGTGATGACTTAGTCTTCGTCATTAAATAGTAATATTTAGTGACGACTTTGTATAGGTTGTCACACATATCTATTTGTGACATAGAATTAGTGATAACGATGTGACAATGGAAAAAGTCGTCACTATACTCATATAATGACGACTTTTTAATTTTTAATGGTGACTTTTTATTGTCACAAAAGACCAAATTTCTTGTAGTGATTCAATTCATTGGCCATAGAATATTAGATTATTTTATAAATTTACTAGTGTATATATACATATATATGTGTGTATGTATGTATGTATGTACTTGTGTTTGGAAAATGTTTGGTATGGGTTTAGATTTGGGTATGGATCCTACAAAACCAGACCTATGACTCTGTCACAAGGTTTGGGTTTGAGTAGGATCTGGATTTGAGAAATTAAATCCAAACCTACCCAAGTATATTGGATTTAGATTGGATATGGATAATATCCAACCCATTGACATACCAACCCACACAACACCAAAAAAATAAGTAAATGATTCCATATTCATTAGTCAATAGAAGATCGGCCTAATTCAATCCATCCAAACTTTAAAATTTTTTTTTGCTACATAAAAACCTTTTTTTGTTTGTTTGGAAGCAACGATTATCTCTTATTTAAGAGGGATCAACTAGGACTGAAGGAGTATACAAATATACAGGGATTTAAACAACAAAATGAAATTCGTTGAAATAAACATAAAACACGTTTCATCACTTCATGCATATTTACATTTTTATTTTTTAAATCTAATTATTTTTATACAAATACTTATTTTCTCCTTTTTAAAACCAATATTGAATTATTTTGTCAATTTTAGAAACTATGTCTATTAACACATTGGAACAATTGGGGAGACAATTGGGTTATGTGGTAAAATGGAAAGGATTGTAAGTAAGAACTCTTGATTGTGTGTGTGTGTGTGTGTGTGAATTTGAAGTACAAAATGATGCTTATTTTTCCACATTTATCATCCACTCTAAAAGTTGGGAACAACATATTTATTTAAATAGGATCATGCATGGGGGACAAAAAGTACAAATCAAACCAACTTCTAAAAAGAAAATTAACCTACCCACAAAACTATGAACTTGAGGGTCACGAGGACCCACGTGCGATCCAAAATATAGAGCAAAGAATCGGTTTTGTTGAATCTCTCGACTTTGAAGGGAGATGAAGACAAAAAATGAAGGCTTCAACTAACAAGAAGTAGTGGAAGAAGAAGAAGCAGAAGAAGCAGAAAATGGTTGTGTAGAATTTATTGGGTCAAAAGTTTTAAAATACTGAAAAGCCAAAATAATGCCTATAGTCTGTCGGGGTAGAACGACAGAGAAATTGGGTGCAAAGTCAAGTCTCATAGTGGAACGTCTACTACTTTTCTTTCTTGTGTTTTGTTCCGTGGAATTGCGGAAAATTTTGAAAACGTCATTTCAAACTTCCATGCGTAAAATATACTTAAATAAGTAGATGAAGTAAAAGTATTGTATGTAAGCTACTTTGATACTGCACCTTGTTTGGATTGTCCTTCTGGCCTGGGATATGGGGTAGTCACAAATTGGATAACAGGCTCTATAATTATTAGTAGCAAATGTACCGTGCAGTGTAAATATTATTACAACAAATGTACATACTAGAACAACAAATATAAATGCTAATACCACAACATATAAAAACATATAAATTTATGGACACGAGTTTGTATGAAGGAGAAAATTTGTTGTGCATTTACCATTGTTGTGTTAGTGTCTATCTTTGTTATTATAATATTTATATTTGTTCTAATAGTGTTTACTTTTGTTATACAGTATTAGTATCTACTATATCTGAATTCTCATTTCAGCCCTCAAATTTTAAAAATGGATACTTTAGTTCTTAAAATTTAAATTCTGTCACACTTTAGTTTCCAAAATATAAAATTTGTTCCATTTTAATTCGTGAAGTACCATAGTTGTTCCACTTAAGTATATAATTTGTCCCATTCCATCAATGACTTCATTTATGTGAGACAATTTTATATTTCAGGGACCAAAGTGTCTTATTTGAAGTTTAGCAATTAAAATGAGCATGTTGATATAGCTGAATGCATGTGCATAGTGGATTTAATTGTCTGAAAAACTAACCCCTAAAACCCTTCTTAATGGGTGGTCATTGAGCACCCATTAACCTGCGTGTTTAAACCAATGTATTTTATCATTTGAATCCAATTTTTAAAGCAATTTTCCATATTTCAGCTACTTTTGCATTATGTAAATATCACATGCAAATCCACAAATAAAATGTTCTAAGATCAAGTTTTGTTTTTAACAGTAAATCTTGCTAGTGAGATAGCTATAGACAAAGAAATTTTTTTTTAAAATTTATTTAGTCAAGATTAAATAAATTGAGTTGATTTTTATTAATTTAAATTAAATTAAATATGAAGGTTTGTTATGTTATGGACTGACAAATTGGTCTAGTATTATATGTGATGTTAAATCAAATTAAATTTGTACTATCCATTTAAACTAGAGCAAATTAATTGATTTGTTAATTCACAATAAACTATTTATACTGACCTATTATTAAAATCCAAGATAAGTGGGCTTCTTGAATTATAAGTCACTCAAGTGCAGAAGGTTTTCAGAGGATTTTCTAGAGGACTATGCCTACATATTTTGGTTTTAAAGTATTCCCTCAAGAAATATATTGAAATCCCTAAATTTTGGAAAAATTCTATCAAACTCTCTCAAAGGCTTTTTCCCTCAAATCCAAGTCAAATCAATCCTTCCATCCATGTTGAAGGTTTGAAGATTGAAAATTCAAGTGTTCAAATGTCATCCTCAATTCAATCATTTTCTACACACAACTTCTAGGAAACACACTCTTTTTAATCAGATAACAAGTCTTTTCAACCTTTCAATTAAGGTATTTTGAAGAGATGAATCAGGAGATTAATTTTTTTGATTTAAAAATTTTCAAAAATTATAATCTTTTTGTTCTTTGATTTAATATATTTGATATCTTTACAAGTTCTCTTATCTTTTGTTTTAGACAATGAAATTTGTGCTACAATAGCATCATACAAATAATCCATCATTTCATGATGCTTTGGTTACTTAGATGAGCATAAAAAATACTAGCAGGTTGGGGAAAGGAAAATCAAAAGTCCAAAAAATACCTTCACATCCAAATGAATTTCTAATTTGATTTTTTTCAAGTGTATTAAGAGAAAAGAATTTTAAATATAATGGTAAAAATACCTACAGTACAATATCTTCTCTCTAAATCTAAATTTTTCTCCTTCTTTCCTTTCCTTAAAAACTGAACATCTTTCTAATCGTCTCTCTCCCTTCCATGATTTTCTTTCTTTTCTTTTTGTCTGTAATAACTCTCATCTAGAGTTTCTTCTCTCTTGAGTTGGTGAGAGTTTTCTCCTCCTTTGGGTTGCCTAGTTAGAATTTTCTTCTCTTCTTGGAATTCTAGTGAGACTTTTATTTACTCTTTCGATTTCATATGTTAAATCTAAGTTATTTTCAGATTTGCTTGTTGAATCTCAAACTTTGTAGGTCTATTACATTAGGTTTCACCATATTTTAGCTTGAACTAGTTAATTAGCAAATCTAACAACTGAAAATATGCACAAATAATCTTTGGTTAAAGTATTATATCTTAAATTTGATTATGTTTGGTATTTCATACTATAATATTTTATTAATTTTTCATAGCTGTAGTAGTAGTATTCAGATATGTTGTGTACGTGTATGTCTCGTTATAATTTCTATTGTTAGTATAGATTTAATAACACTACAATGTTTTATCAATATATATAGGATTAATCTTTCCTACGCTAATAATATATACTATTAGCGTTGGATGAACGACAACTATGCAAATTTTGAATTTGAAATTTAACTTTTACACATATGTCATAGATCTAACAGTGGTAGTGTATATATTATTAGCGTATATAAGATTTACTCATAAATATATATATTTATATATATATATATATATATATATTCCTCGAAT